TTCCTCTCAAAGGCAATACCCTCTTTCCTAGGGTTCCTGTTGAGGATCTGCTTCTTAAGCACATCACAAAGAGTCTGATGCCCTTTGAGGCTTTTGTACATGCCTGTCATATACAATTCCTTCAGCCCTGCATCGTCAGTAATACTAGCAATGTCCTCGGATGAGGAATTAGTGATAGCAGAGGCAGGTGAAGAATTTGTAACATTTGAAGCATTTAAACATTCAGGTGAAGAATTAGCATATTCACGTTCAATGCACTTTAAGCATGGAGGGTCAAATTCTTCCTCAGTAGCGTTGATTTGTTGAGCAAGTAATGAATCACGCTCCTTCTGAAGATCTTCATAACACACTTTTAGCTTCTCAAGATCTTGCTTTCTTTGAAGAAATTCATAATAAAGCTTCTCGTGATCAGTTAAGAGAGTTTTATGATGACTTTCAAGGTTGTCAAACTTAGACTGAAGTCTCTGAAGATTTTCAGTTAAGTCTTTAGTGCGGTCCATTTCATCACCCAACATATCATCACTTTTGTCTAGCATGTTTTGAAGTTTTTCAATAGCCTTTTGTTGTTTCACAGCAATCTTAGCAAGTTTGGAGTAGCTAGGCTTAAGATTTTCATCAGATTCATCCTCACTTGATTTAGAGGTGTTACCTTGGCAGCCTTTTCCATGAAGCAATAGGTGGGAGCGTAGTCGTCATTGCCTTCATCAGCGTTGTTGGTGTTGCCATTTTCTTCAGAGTTGAAGATAGACTTGCTGACAAATGCAGTAGCAAGAGCTAGACTTGCCACACCTGACTCAGACTCCTCGGATGCCTCCTCTTCCTCATGATCCTCAGATTCAGCCTCAGAATCCATTTCCTTGCCAATGAATGTCCGAGCCTTCTTGGAGCTGCTCTTCTTGTGAGATGAAGACTTCGAGGATTTTGATGATGAAGACTTTGAAGATTTCTTCTTCTTCTTGGCATCATCAGAATTGTAATCCTTGTATTTCTTCTTCTTTAGTTCCTTGTCCCACTGAGGACAATCTTGAATGTAGTGACCATGCTTCTTGCATTTGTGGCATAGCCTTCTCTTATAGTCACTTGATGAGGAATCACTGCTCCTTGAAGATTTTCCAAAGCAACCACATCTTGAGAATTTCTGGAATTTCTTCACGAGCAGTGCTAGCTCCTGGCTCAATTCTTCAGGATCACCAAGGCTACTACCAGAATCTTCACATTCCGGTTCAGACACTGCCTTGGCCTTCAGGGCACGTGGTTTGCCATAGCTTGAACCATAGAGATCTCTCTTTTCAGCAAGCTGGAACTCATGAGTATTTAGCCTCTAGAGGATATCAGCGGGATCTAGTGACTTGTAATCAGCACACTCTTGAATCATCAGTGCTAGAGTGTCAAATGATGAATCAAGTGATCTCAGCAATTTCTTCACCACCTCATGATCGATGATGTTAGTGGCACCGAGCGCTTGAAGCTCATTTGAGATATCAGTGAGGCGATCGAAGGTTTGCTGAACATTTTCATTGTCGAGTCTTTTGAAGCGGTTGAAGAGATTGCGAAGAACATCAACATGAGAGTCACGTTGAATTGAGACTCCTTCGTTTACTTTGGAGAGCCTATCCCAGATAAGCTTAGCAGTTTCCAAAGCACTCACTCTACCATACCGCCCTTTACTCAGATGACCACATATGATATTCTTCGCTTGAGAATCGAGTTGCTTGAATCTCTTCACATCAGCAGCATTCAGGGAAGGTGTGACTGAGGGAACACCATTTTCCACAACGTACCAGAGATCATTGTCAATTGCTTCAAGATGCATTCGCATCTTATTCTTCCAGTAGGGGTAGTCCATGCCATCGAAGGTAGGACACCCAGCAAAGACCTTGATCATACCTGCGGTCGACATAACTAGAACTCCAGGTGGTTAAACCAAAATCACACAGAACAAGGAAGTACCTTGCTCTAATACCAATTGAAAGTGCGTTATATCGACTAGAGGGGGGGTGAATAGGCAATTTTTATGAATTCTTCACCGAGGAATTTGCCGGTGAGGAAATTCCTTAGCGAAGAACTACTTGCAGCGGAATAAGTACTCAAAAGTAAGCATGACAGAATACACACATGGTCATCATGATGAAATGAAGACAAACACAGAGTACAGAAAGCGTAAACACAGGATAGCACAAGATGAAGACAAACAGACTAAAGAAATTGAACTGAGGAAATTGAGAAAGTCTTCAGTCAAAGTCTTCAAACATAGATATGAACAAACAATCAACACAGTAATGAGGAAATGAAAGAGTTGAGGAAATAGAACCAGTAAGGTTGGTGAAGACAATGATTTGGTAGACCAGTTCCAACTGCTATCTCAGTTGTACATCTGATTGGAGCGGCTGAGTATTTAAACTCGAGGACACACAATCCCGGACACCCAGTCACTGAGCATGCAGCTCAGGACACCAAGTCCTCATCGTATTCTCCTTGAACTAAGGTCACACAGACCTCGTCCAATCACTCGTGGTAAGTCTTCAGGTGACTTCCAAACCTTCACAGACTTTGGTCACTCGGCGATCCATAATTCCTCTTGGATGCTCTAGACCATGACGCCTAACCGTATGGAAGAAGCACAGTCTTCAAAGGTAAGAAGCGTCGGATCCACGCAGGATCAATCTCTTCAGTGATACTCAATCACTTTGGGTTTGCGGGTGTTTGGGTTTGGATTTTCCTCACTCGATGATTTTCGCTCAAAGTCCTCGGAGGATGTGTTGCTCTCAAATGACAAGTGTCAGTTTCTCTCGGAGCAGCCAACCAGCTAGTGGTTGTAGGGGGCGGCTATTTATAGCCTAGGGAGTAGCCCGACATGATAAGACATAAATGCCCTTCAATGATATGACCGTTATGTGGATAAGATATTTTGGGAGAGCTGGCGCGTAGCACAGCAATGGTCGGAAATTTGACTCTCAAATTCCTCAGGGCTATCATGTTCCTCACTGTGTAGGCAATCCGCACTGGCGAATTCCTAACTCCTCAGTCAGAGCAAATTCCTCAGCGACCAGAAGAACTTCGTCTCTGTCTCTGAAGAAATTGACTGAACTGTATGAGATTTCCAATGGCTTCACTCGAAGGGATTGGTAGGTGTAGGATTTTGAGTTGAGCATCACATGGAAATTTTTCCTTAGTATTTCCTCGACCCACTTTAACAGTACGGTGTTTCCTATGACTCAAGAATGAGAAAAACAAAACTATGAAAATGAAAGTCTTCAAGCTTTATATTCCTCGCATGTATATCAAGTCTTCATGGACACACCAATTTCTTCACTTTCAAAGTCTTCATGAAAGTCTTCAGAAATACCAAAATCTTTAGTCGAAGATATTCATTTTTAGGGGTCGACTTTCTCTGTAAATATCAAACTCCTCATAGACTTATAGACCTGTGTATACTCATAAACACATTAGACCCTTAACCTATAAGTCTTCAATACACCAAAATCACTAAGGGGCACTAGATGCATTTACAACCCTCAAAAAAGAAAAAAGAAAAAAAAAGAAGTCGAACCCACGCAAATCACTCCACCACGCTTTCCCCATTCCCTCGCCATCGCCGTCGCCGCACATGATCTTCCCGTGAGTCCCTGATCTTGATCGTACACATTTGCATGCATGATTAATGTACAATTGAATCGGGGGCATCACAGAGTACTGTGCAGTAACCACACCGCCACCGAACCTCAGGCCAAACACTTACATCGTTTTCCTTCTTTTCTTCTTTCTATTTTTTTCTTTTTTCTTCTTCTTGGTTCAAAGAATTTTTTAAAATTTGTGAATTATTTCTTCAAAATAAATGAACTTTTTCTAAAAATTGATGAAGTTTTTTTTTTCAAATTTGATGAACTTTTTTCAAATTCGATGAACTTATTTTTCAAACTCAATGAAGTTTTCTTCAAAAGCGTTGAACTTTTTTCGATGAAGTTTAGAGCACATTTCATACCACATCCAGAAAAGAGTGCTACCGTTGAGTTGCAGGCATGAAAGTCGACCACCACAGCTACGATGTAGCCAAAATGGATAACATCATGAAACCATAGTACCAAACCTATGGTTCCAGTAATCCATCACCACTATCTACCACAACATCACATGGTCACAGATCAACACTCTGCAATGCTACCATTGTCCATAAATCTATCCCTAGCACATACTCATAGACCTAAGTTATATCAAGTAGGGAGGGGAGTGATAGAACTTACAGCCAACGGTGAGTAGGGAGGTGACGCGGAACTCATCGGAGAAGAGGAGGATGACGAAGTGCAGCCATCGTCTACTGTCGGCCGAAGAAGAGGTGCAGTTTACCTGCTAGTTGCAGACGAATTCGCCCGAGATGGATAGCGTGAAGGGGGGAAATGGTGGTGGGAAATCAGGATGAGGTGACGTGGGCTAAATAGCGTCCGATTCGGCAGGAGGTGTCCCAATTCCTCCCACCGTTTTTTCACGAATGCGCGCGAGCTCACGCCATCCCCCCCTCGCATCGGCTCGGCATCATGCTCCTCTACGCTGCACGCCGCGAGCCCGACTGAGAGAAAAATGGTCGACTCGGCCGTTCCCAGCGGGCCTGGCTGGGAGATGCTCTAAACTTCGTGCGATGCGGCCAAACAAAAAAAGAAAGGAAAAACAAACAAGTACTCCCTCCGTCCGGAAATACTTGTTGAAAAGATGATAGAAATGGATGTATCTAAAACTAAAATACATTTAGATTCATCCATTTCTCGGACAAGTATTTTCGGACGGAGAGAGTATTTTTTCACGAGAAGAACAACAAAAAGATGAAGGAAATTCGTGCATATGAGCGCTCTAAAAAAAGCCCAGCCCATCATCAGATCAACACTGATTGGTGGGGTCACTTGGTCAGCGACAAGGTCGAACCAGACCACGCAAATCCTCACCCCTCTCTCTTGCTCTTGCACCGGCTGTTCCTCGCCGCCGGGCGCCGGCGCCACCGCGCCGCCACCATGCTCCGCCTCCGGAAATGCATCCTCACCCAGCTCCTCCCTTCCTCCTCCGCCTCTCCCATCTCCCACCTCAGCTGCCTCTTCTCCGCCGCCGTGCCCGCTGTTTCCCCCAACCCTAGCTTCGCCGTGGAGGAGTACCTCGTCGCCACCTGCGGCCTCACCCGACCACAGGCCGCCAAGGCCTCCGCCAAGCTGTCCCACCTCAAATCCCCCGCCAAGCCCGACGCCGTCCTCGCCTTCCTCGCCGGCCTCGGCCTCTCCGCCGCCGACGTCGCAGCTCTTGTTGCCAAGGACCCGCTGTTCCTCTGCGCCGGCGTCGAGAGAACCCTGTACCCCGTCGTCGTCCGGCTCACCGACCTCGGTCTCGCGCGTCCTGATATCGCACGCCTCGTCTCGCTAGCCGGTGAGTATTTCAGACGTAGATTTGTTGCCTCAAGGCTACCCTACTTCATGTCCCTCTTCGGATCCTACGACAACCTCCTCCGGGTACTCAAGAACAACCCCAATCTCCTGGGAAGCGACCTCGACAGGGTTGTCAAACCCAACATCGTGTTACTGCAGGAGTGCGGGCTAGGTGTTTGCGATATTGCCAAGCTGTGCATCCGTGTGCCATGGATGCTCAGCATCAACCCGGAGCGCGTCCAGGCGATAGTGGCGTCTGCTGAACGACTTGGTGTGCCCCGTGGATCAAGGATGTTCAGGCATGCCTTGCATGGTGTTGCATTTTTTGACGACGAGAAGATCACCGCCAAAGTGGAACTCTTGAAGAAGACGTTCAGGTGGTCAGATGCCGAGGTGGGTATTGCTGTTTCTAAGGCTCCAATTGTGCTGAAGAAGAGTAAGGAATCACTGCACCGTAGGTCCGAGTTCCTCATCTCTGAGGTGGGGTTGGAACCTGGGTACATTGCTTATCGCCCAGCAATGCTCAGTTACAGCCTGGAAGGCCGGATGAGACCCCGGTACTATGTTGTAAAGTTTCTCAAGGAAAATGGATTGCTCAAGCGTGACCTGAGCTACTTTACTGTTTTCAAGGAGTCCGAGAAGGCATTCAAGGAGATGTTCATACACCCTCATAAGGAAGCTGCACCGCACCTTGGGAAAGACTACGATGCTGCTTGCAAAGGGGAAGTGCCCACTAATTTCAGATTCACGTAACCCAGGAATGGGCTCTGATGTAACTGTGTGCTTGTTGTTCGCTGCTGTATGTCAGTTAGATGCTGGGTTGGTTGTTGTTAACATGTGATGAAACTGATAACTTGATTCCTGAATACTGATATGTAATGTCTTCACTCAGCAGAGAACAAACCATGGATCGGCTATCAAATATTTTGTCCTCATTCATGTAATATGAGAGAGGTTCATATGCCCTCATAAGGATGCTCCAGCGCATCTCGCTGAAGACTATGCAAGAGCTTGCAGAGGGGAGGTTCCAGCTAGATTCAGTTTTACATGAACCAAGACTAATAAGAAAATTGGTATGTTCATTATGTCATTCAGTAGAGAAGAAACCATGCACCGCACTGCTATGAACCTGTCTTTGTCATATTGCACACCTTGGAGCTAGGAGAGTATGAGATCAGGGTATTCTGCAAATTCTTTGAAGTATCAATGAGTAGTATTTCTGCACACTCTCTGTTTGTATGTTCTGAAATGGCCATTTCAGTTTTGAATGCAACCCTCTATCTATCTTTCCATGAAAGAATGTTCTCATTTTGGCCATGAAGATGATATGAAGTCTCAACCTTTCCTTTGCATGAAATTTTTGGACCCCTTTTTCAGTGAGAAACAATTTTGGATTTGTTGATGTGCTGATCACTGTTGAAGATCCAGTTTTGATCTAGTTTGTTGGTTGGTTGGTTGCTTGCTTTAGTTCTTCTAAGCTGAAATATTCCTTCTTCCTGGAGTAGCTTTGTTTATAAGATATTAACTGTTGTGAAAGCAGGCCATTGTTGAGTAGCATTTAACGATCAGCTGTGTCCCGCCCTTGTCTGGTGCTTGTTGAAATTATAGAGTCAAGATTAATGAAATGTAGGCGAAGTGAACAGGTTGGCTGATGAAGTGACTTACCACGAGGTGAGAAGATATGGAGTTCTTAGATATGGAATTCTTCCTCAAGCAAAAAGTGGCTGGGCAATAGGAGCATACTGATTTACTGAATTTGAATTTTTGCAATTGAAGATGTGCTGAAACTGGATGTAGATGCTGCTTTCTTTTCCAGGAAACGATGTGAAACATGTTGGCATTGGCTTTGATGCACTATACATGATTCTGAAGGCTCTGTAAGTTGATGATGCCCTGAAGATTCAGTGACAAGTATGGCCTGACGCTGGTGTAAGTTTTATTCAGGGAAGCTCCTACTTGTCTCTTTTTTGAATTTTGCAAGTTAAAGTAAACCTTCTAGTATTATACTAGAGATTGTAACAAGGTGGCTGACGAGTTGCTGTCGCATGCCTGTCGGATTCATCAGCTCAGCTTAGTGAGGCAAACTGAACAAAATAGCAGCATCTTGTGCTTTAATCAATCCATACTTGGAGCTCCGTGCGCTTATATTTGAAAAAAAATGAACGAATCATGCATGCATGTAAACAGAAAGTGTGATGTAAATTTTCTACTCTGAATTCTGAATTTGAATCAGAGCAGAAAGTTAACAGCAACCTTATAACAAAGTTTTTTTGCTGTACTTTTCCCCTCCAACACGGCATTTTCTATATTTGGCTGCCAGAAGCTAATACGGCTAACATTAATAGACGCTTCGCTTCAGACTCTTCAGAGCCACAACTCAGTATTTTCTATTATCACAGCGGCATCTCTCATTTTCTCATCTTAAAAAAATCAATGATTAGAGGTTTCTGAGCAAAAAGCTATTCTGTAGTTTTCATAAATGTCTAATTCAGTCTATTAAAATGGGCATATTTTCATACAGGTTCGGCGAAGGAGAGATGTCATTTAAAAGTGCGAATAAAATTGTTTTACCCTATAATTTAAAGTGTGCATTTTTAGTATCTGATGTACTGAAGGCATGTGATGAATACCAATTGCAAATGCTAGCTGATTGCATCGTTCTTATTTCTGGAATTTCTTCAATATTTTCTCTAAATGTTGGTTGTGCAGATCTGACACGGAAAATGAGAGGAAGAATTTAGGGTGACATATTGGTGAGGAAGAACGACTGATTTCTTTTCTCTCTCGCTTCTGAACACTATATGGTCCTACTTATTGTTGCATGGTTAACAATGCAAATTGCAAACCACCAGTGGAGTTACATGTATAGTGCAAATGCGAGACAATAGAACGAATTTGGAGTTTTTCATATCTGCTCCACAGAGACAATTGTTATAATTTTCGGGGTCAAAACAGGAGCTGTATTTTATCATCAACTGTCAGCACCTTGCCTTCATCATGTATTAAGTTTACTAGTGGCTAAGATTTTTTTTTGGTTTAGTCTGTTGCATGCTACTTTGGTCGCTGCTAGCTCTTGATGAGACTGATACTTTCGTTCCTTGATGGCAATTCTTCGATGCATTACAAAAAAAAAAACTATTTTCAGCTTAGTAGGTGGTTTGTTGCAAGAATTTTAGTATTTTCACCAAGCAGACCATGAAGTTAGCTGGTACGATCACTGGGCAGAAGAAAATGATATGGAAAGCATCATATATAGAAGGTGATAATGGTTCACGTAGTCATCGTCACACGTATGGACATCATACATCATATATCAGTAGGAATCAAGAGGGATTGTTCCTTGCCTCCTTTGTACTTGCAACTCTTTATTTTAGAGCAAGCATGGCACCAACTTGACTACCACGGTCCGGTCCATTCGTTCAGTGTGGTAAGTAGAGAAACTACTACTACCTGTAGGTTAACCCCTCTTTTCTTAATGTGTGAGCTTCTTCAGAGAACTAGCCTTTATTCCTTGAAAGGCAGAGAGGTGAGACATGGCAGGGCACTGGAGTTGTTGTCCCTTTCTCTAATCCAAACCACTTGAACTCAAAGTTTTCAATTTACTGAATATACACGGTAATTTCTTTCTCTGTTCCAGAGGGAGAAGATGTGCTAGAATTTGAGTTTACTAAATTGGAGCGAGCTCTCCATTGAAACATTCATTTGTCTAGGTGCCCGTGTTCTTAACTTGTGTGAAATTCTAATAAATGCGAACATCATGCATGCCATTTGAACATGGTTGAAAGCAGCATTGAAAACTAAACGTGTGGTTACAAGCTCTCTTTTCTCTGTCACAAACAGTTGACCATTTTTGCACCTTTTTTTGCCATTGAGATTAACTGCATTTCTAAACATGAGAAATGTTTTACATGAGAAATGTTTTGTCTTCTCATAAACCTACTGCAACTTGTTGCAGGCATCAGTCAACAACAAGAATGGAGAGAGTGAAGCAGAACTCGGAGAAAATTAATGAAGCAAAAGCTAAGACATCAGTCTTCCATTTTCGCGTTCCCGTGTTCGTCTCCAAGTTGGATTATAGATAGCCAAGTGAGGTCTAGTGCATATACTCTTGTGCAAAAATTTTAATTGAGAATGCCTGTCGTGTCACAAAGTCGCTCTTAAATGGGGTTTATACAAAAAGCTACTCTTATTGAGAGGTGCTATGCAAAATTTGCATCGCTCGACCCACAAAGTGGTCGTGGAAAATAGATATGATCATACCGTGTGTAAAATTTGACAAGATGAGAGGTCACCTTGTGTTTTTTTTCTTTTATTTTGAAAGATAATATTTCCACCACCACTAAACTCATTCTATTCACCTAAAAATTAAGAATTTAATTTTAGATTTAAATATACTCACTTTTATTCAAAAAATTGCATGAGAATATCACATTTGCATTTGAATACTCTAAAACTTCAAAGTATGATATTTGCAAATTTCAAAAGATAGGTCCATATGTATCAATTTTTTGAATATCCCTCTTCCGTCGGAATTCTCACGGGAGTGGCGACACAGAGGAGAAGGTGTTTTTCTTATGTTCGAGTGTGCAGTTTTAATAAGTTATTTTTTGATTATTACATGGATTTTTCTAACCAAATATTTGAAGTGACTCCTATCTATTATAAGGGTTCATCACCAGTACAAAAGCATCCCGGACATAATAAGAATTACATTGAGGTCCCTCAGCCACCGAACAACCACTACGCTGCTAGGACGAGCCACCGACGCACCGCTATCGCCAATTCCTTATCAGAGCTTGTCCGACCTTGTCGATTATAGCCAAAAAGACTTTGTGCATGTGCCCCTAAGGACGTCACTCCAGAGCTGCAGTCGTCACTATTGAACTCTTTTATGGACCCGAAGTATCTAACACCAAAAAATCCCCATCTTGCACTCACGGCGTGAAACTCATTCTATTCACCTAACAAATACGAATTCAATTTTAGATTTAAGTATACTCATTTTTATTCAAATTAATTGCATGAGAATATCGCATTTGCATTTGAATCTCTAAAACTTGAAAGTATGATGCTTGCAAAGTTCAAAAGATAGGTCCATATGTATCGGATTTTTGAATATTCCTCTTCCATCGAATTTTTCATGGGAGTGGCGACGAAGAGGAGAAGGTGTTTTCCTTATGTTCGAGTGTACAGTTTTAGTAAGTGAATTTCTGATCATTACATGGATTTTTGTAAACAAATATTTTAAATGACTCTTATCTATTATAAAGGTTCATCACCAGTACAAAAGCATCCCGAACATAATAAGAGTTACATTGAGGTCCGTCAGCCACCGAACAACCACTACGCTGCTAGGATGAGCCACCGACGCACCGCTATTGCCAATCGCTAACCGAAGCTGGCCTGGCCTTGTCGATGATAGTCAAAAAGTCTTAATGCATGTGCCTCTAAGGGCCATCACTCCAGAGCCACAATCGTCATTATTGAACTATTTTCTTGATCTGAACTGACACAAATAACTCGTCGTCTTGCATTCACGACATGAAACTCTAACCTCACGCGCACAAAAATTGGCCCTGCAAAAGACTAGACTGAGGTACCGGGGACCCCCTCCCCGCCGTGGGTTGCCGGAGCGGCAGACACAAGTGAGGAGAGTCTACAAGCGGTAGAGCATGGATGGAACGGACCTTCACCCTAGCCGCCACCAGTGAGAGGGAGGAATATAATTGTTCGTGGTTTTGTAACCGAATTGACAAAGTCAAATATCTAGAGAGTATCACTCTAGTTTTCTTAGAAGGAGTATCACTTTAGTTAAAAGAAAAGGTTTTCAAGGCCCACTACGCTCACATTTTCCGGTTCGCCCAAACACGCAACTATAGTCTCGCTAGCCGTCGCCGCTCGTTTCCCCTGGCGCCCCTATTCCTCGCATTCAGCGAGTCTAACTTCCAGACTCACTGAAGGGGGTGAGCAAGGTGGGCCGACCCATGCGCCCCGTACCATAGCCTGTTTTTTTTTTGTTTTTTCTATATTTTTTGTTTTCGTTTTTTTGTT